AGTCCAGAGAATTTAATTTGCTAGCACTGTGTGTAACCCTGTAACTTTCTATGACACCCTAAAACCTGTACATGGGGGGTACTGTTTTACTCGGGAGACTTCGCTGAACACAAATATTAGTTTTTCAAAACAGTAAAACATATCACAGCGATAATATTGTCAATTAAAGTGACTTTTTTTGCATTTTTCACATACAAACGGCACTTTCACTGATGATATTATTGCTGTGATATGTTTTACTGTTCTAAAACACTAATATTTGTGTTCAGCGAATTCTCCTGAGTATAACAGTACCCCACATGTAGGGGTTATATAGTGTTTTTGAAAGTTACAGGGTCAAATATAAGGCTTGATTTAACTTTCTTTTTTTCATAGAAATTTGTCAGATTGGTTATGTTGCCTTTGAGAGTGTATGGTAACCCAGGAATGAGAATTACCCCCATGATGGCATATCATTTGAATAAGAAGACAACCCAAGGTATTGCAGATTGGGTATGTTCAGCCTTTTTTAGTAGCCACTTAGTCACAAACACTGGCCAAAGTTAGCGTTTCTTGCATTTTTAACACGCAAACACATATAAATGCTAACTTTGACCAGTGTTTGTGACTAAGTGGCTACTAAAAAAGACTGGACATACCCCATATTGAATATCCTGGGTTGTCTACTTTAAAAAAAAAAATATGTACATGTGGGGTGTGATTCAGAGATTTATGACAGATAATAGTGTTACAATGTCACTATTGATACATTTAAAAAATATATATATTGAAACAGCAATTTCCTACTTGTACGTATAGCCATATAACTTGCAAAAAAGCATGTAAACACTGGGTGTTTTTAAACTCTGGACAAAATTTTGAATTTATTTAGCAGTTTTTTTCATTAGCTTATGTAGATAAGTAAAAGATTTTTCAAGTAAAAGTCCAAAAACTTGACATGATACAAATAATCGTATGTAAAGAAAGCCCTTCTTGTCCTGAAAAAAAACAATATATAACTTGTATGGGAACAGTAAATGAGAGAGCGGAAAGTTACAGCTAAACACAAACACCACAAAAGTGTTAAAACCGCTCTGGTCCTTAATGTACAACATCGAAAAAACAGGCCGGTCCTTAAGGGTTTAACTAAGTATAGATTTTACATTTTTAAAAGCAAAAATATGAATTTGAAGTTGAGTTATTTATGTAAAAAGAGTTTTACTCGGATTTCTCTAAAAAACATCTATTCTATCTTAAAGAGAAAAAGTAGTTTGCACTAAGTATGCAATGTTGCTATCACACTAAAGAATATGGTTGTTTTCATGATTATTTTTTTAAATATATATTTCAAACGTGTACCTGCCTTGTATAGTTTTGCTAATATTTCTATATTTCAGGCCTTGGTATTCTTGTCATCATAAATATCTCATGCTATCCTATTAAACTCCCTGTGACCCCCCACCCGAATTTGTATGGGGTGGCAAGAAAGCATTAAGTTTTTATTAGTTTGTGTTAGTAAGGGTAAAAATTGCCTTCTTCTAGGTCTTTTAAATCTGAGGTTAATGTTATACCTAAATATTTTAGCATGTCCTTGTTTTCTGAGAGGCCAAGGTTTTGTACAAGAAAATTAATTATCCTTTCGTTCAAATTTTTAGCTAAAAATATTGATTTCTCTATATTCATTTTATATCCTGACACTTTGGAGTATTTATTTATCTCGTTCAGAATCTCCAGGACTGAGGTTTTTAAGATGTCATCTGCATTCATATTTAATTTACTTTGTCTTAAGGAGTTTGTAAATCCTTTAATTTTTTTTTATTTTGTCTTATTAGAACCGCAAGGAGTTCTAACACCATTATGTACAGTAAAGGGGAAAGAGGGCTCGCTTGTCTAGTCCCATTTTAACACTGAAGTTTTGTGATGTGAATCCTGACCCTGTTACTTTAGCTGATGGAGAGTTGCAGAGAGCAGATATAGCTTGTAATATTGATCCAGTGATTCCAAATTGTTTTAAAGTGGCAAACATGAAACCCCATTCAACCCAACGTTTTCACTGTGTCTATTGACAGTAGCATTAGAGGGGTTCCATTATTTTCTGTTTATTTTAATATGTTTATTATTTTTCTAAGATTGTTGATTGAAGACCTCCCTGGTATGAATGCTACTTGGTCATTATTAATTAATTGTGGTATGACTATTTTTAATCGATCAGCAAGGATAGAAGATAATATTTTAATATCTGTATTGATTAATGATATAGTTCTATAATTGCCAATCAGTTCTAAATCTTTATCTGCTTCTGAGATAGGGACAATATTTGCTCTCAAAAGCTCTCCAGGACAGCTTCCTGCTTTCATTATATAGTTGAAAATGGTCGTAAGTTCCCCTTTTAGTTGATCTCTCGTTAGTTTATAAAATTTATTTGTGAAGCCATCTGGGCCTGGGGAAGTCTTTATTTTAAGCTTATCTATGAATTTACTGATCTTTATTTTTGTTATAGGCTGGTTTATTAGCTTTAATTGGTTGGGTAGGATTTTTGGCATGGATAGGTTTTCAAAGAATTCCTCAATTTCTTTTTCCTTGCCATATATTTCTTTTGGTAGGCTATATAGATTCTGATAAAATCTCTGAAACGTTCTACCTATTTTTCCTGGGGTTATTAGATGGATTTCTTTATCTTTTATATTAAATATTACTCTTTTATGTTTCTCTTTTTTAATTTTTTTTCGATGTTAGTGTTTCTGGCTTGTTACCCTTTAGATACCATTTGGATTGTAGTGCTTTTAAATGTTTGGTTGCTTTATTCATTAGCTGAATATTCATCTGTTTTTCTGTTTCTGCAATGTTCCTTGCTATCTGTGTGGAAGGTGTTGTTTTATTTTGCCTCTTATATTCGCTTATTTTCGGTAATCCTTTTTCATTTGCAGTGTCTGCCATTTTTATTAAATGACCTCTAGCTACGCTTTTATAAGCGCACCAGACCGTGATATCCGGTGTACCTTTGTTTTTCTAAAAAGAAAAGATTTGTTATATTCTTAATTTCTTCAACATTATTTTTTTGTGTAATAAAAAATCTTTTTTACGCCACTCTTTTTGAAATGTATCAAAATTATCTTTGTATTACAACATAATTGGACTATGGTCTGACCATGCTATATCCTGTATCTCTATTCTTTTGACAAGATATAGCATGGTCTTTTTTTTTTCTTTACTTGTTTCAGTACTTCCCAAGACCTTTAAGGACACTGCAATTGGCTGTGACATTGATTCTACCCTCCTGCATTCACACTAAAGTTGTATATAAAGGGGTAAATGAGAGGAACACATAATTTTACAAATATTTATGTCACCCTCCCACATCAATACTAAAGATGCATATGTTGGGGTAAATGAGACGGTGGCATAACCAATGTCTAAAGTTGACAATTGTGTCAACTCTAAAAGTATATACATTCCTAACTTGCAAATATTAATAATCAACATGTTAAAATGTTTATAGGACATGTAACTCCACGGAAGAGTAGGAAGAGGTCTACTCAATAAAATTAGAATAGAAACATTTAAAATACACAAACACAAAACTGTGTAGTTTCAGATAATGAAATTCCATAATTGTTTGAGACTGTTTTTAGCTGATGCTAACATGGTTTTGCTTTGCTATAAATGTCCACATCTCAACCTATGAAGTTAATGGGTTCATCAATACATAGACTCGCATTCGTATTCAGCCGTATTGCAATTAGTATGAATTTAAGCTGATCAGTGGTGGATTGTCCAAACTATGTAACTGTGAAGCTCCATATGGACTTGTGACCAAACCAATGGCTCACGCAAGGGACAAGCATGCTCGTTTGATTTGTGATTCACAGTTCTGTCCATTTTGCCCAAAAAAAGAGATGATTGATGGGAAAAAAGATGATTGGTAGTTAGGGTACAGCCACTAAATGTTGCTTATTGTTCACAGATCAGGTGAGAAGTGACCAACAAAGGGAAAAAAGGAGAAGCAATAAAAAAAAAAAATATTTATATATTATTTATTTAACAAATATATATCAAATATTAATAAATATTCTATGTAGTGCTCTGTTGGTTACTTTTTCTCACTTGATCTGTGAAACATATGGTGGCAAAATCAATGTACTGCAAAACATTTACATAATATTTATGCATATATTTTGCAGTATAGTGACGGGTCCATTTTTGTAAATGGTGTTTCCAAATATTTTGAAAGGGCGAAATTCAGATTGTCCAAACCACCACGTGGACGACTATAGGACTACCCAAACTAAATTTTATTTAAGGATGAAGTGATTTGGCCAAACTGAATGTCTCCACTGTACACAAGTCTACTGTAATGTATCATTGTTCATCAATATATAGACTCGCATTCGTATTCAGACGTGGCTAAACAAATCCTGGAAGGGTAGCCAGGAGACTTTTGTTCTAATTTAGAATCTCAGCTATCATTTTGAATTTCAGTATTTTGAATTGAACTTCAACCAAAAATCTTAATAATCGAAAACATTTGAAAATCTGAACCATATCAATTAGGAAAAAAATATTCCAATTTCTACCAGTCTACTGGCCTCTGCCACTTAACACCAACCTTCAATCAGTAGTTTAAAGTTTGAGATTTCTTTTTCTGTTAAAGGGTCACTATAGGAACTTTCATTTTAGGGCAGAATCAATGTCCGACCAATATTCTTCACCATTCAACACTCCAACCTTCCTCGCTACTTGAAGTTCTCAATCAATGAGCCAAGCCTTACATAGCAGGGCTTAGCTCAGGAGGGCTAATGGAAGTTCCTGCTTAGGAATGGCGCCCAGCAGACTCATGCTGAGAACTCAAACCATTCAAAAAAAATTTACTCCTTACAATGATCAAGTGATCACTAGCGATGTCCCGAACGGTTTGCCGAACGGTTCGCGAACAGTTCGCAAACGGTTCGCCACGGACTCACCATTGAGGAAACTTTGACCCTGTACCTCACAGTCAGCAGACACATTCCAGCCAATCAGCAGCCGACCCTCCCTCCCAGATCCTCCCACCTCTTGGACAGCATCCATTTTGAAGCTGTCCAGGAGGTGGGAGGATCTGGGAGGGAGGGTCTGCTGCTGATTGGCTGGAATGTGTCTGCTGACTGTGAGGTACAGGGTCAAAGTTTACTCAATGATGAGTCCGCGGTGAACCGTTCGTGGCGAACCATTCGCGAACCGTTCGGCCAACCGTTCGGGACATCACTAGTGATCACCAATACAAGTAAAAAAAAGAGATTCTATTGATTGGTTCCTTTTTCTCACTTTATCTGTAAACCAAATGGCAGGTAAATGCGCCAATCTGTTTACTGCAAAATATAAATATAGTATTACATTTTGTATACATTTTTCAGTATATTGACTGGCCCATTCCATGCCCTTTTGGTTCTTCTGATTCATTTTCACAGATCTTTTTAGCGGACAAAATTCTGCTGAGCCGAACCACCACATGCATGAAATGTAGCCATCCCAAAATATTTTTATTTATTTATTTTAATTTTATTTTATAACACTGTAACTGTTTTATGGTTAGCACTGAATATTTTCGAACTCCCAAATATTATAAATTGAAACATTGAGGGATCATCTAATCCTACATTAAAATATTACTCACAGTTTTATTTGTGCCATTCGGATATTTTCCTCATCATATTTTTATAATGTGTTAGAGTTCAGGAAAATACTAACGGGCAGCTCTGAAATTTACCTTGACACTCGCAACCCTA